CATTTCAGTGTTATCTGAACCCAGCTTTCAGGAAGGTTCCCGTTTCACTGCCTGCAGCACTTTTGATAAAGCAAACAAAGACCCGGAGCCTGGTTGGACCTTCGCTTCATATTTTCACTTGAGGGTTGGCGCTGTGTTTACCAGTTGTGGTCACTGGAAATTCCCTGAAGAAGCCACAAGAACAGAAGGCAAAGGAATAGCTTCTTCCTTTACAGTTTTACTGGTTTAAAGGGCTGCAATCTTCCAACCCACCGAAGTTTGTCTTAGAATTTTATCAACCGGATTCTGCAAAAGCAAGTAGAATACTGTCCTCAGAGGTAGAGTCCTGATCAAATGTGGAGGGAAAGACGTTCCTTCCAGCCTGTGTCAGGCTGCCAACTTCTCATGATGGTGGAAATTCGTCCGCTGAGCAGAAGCTGGGATTTTCAGAGGTGCTTTCCACCCAGCAGTAAAAGGCAAAGAGCTCTCCCGCTCCCGCACGGTGCACTTCGGTCAGACCACATGTGTTCTGGTCTTGCCTCCGTTATAACTGGGTGAACTGCTTCAAGCCATTTCACAGCCTTGGTTGTCAGTGTTTCCTTCTCTGAGATGGAGCTGCTTCCAGCCCCCACATTACCCAGTAGCCCCCCGTGGTCATTCTCCTCATGGCTATAGAAACAGACCTGGCGTATTCTGGATCACACAGCCTACTGATGTGTGGCCTTGGACAAGGTGGCTAATCTCTCTGTCCTTCAGAGTGTCTGCTTCTGTAGAGGGAGTAACAACATCTACGTTAAATCGTGGTCATGAGAATTCGATGGTTGTGTGAAATGATTTGCATGGTGTCTAGCACATGAGAACTCTTACTTTTACCTTCCGAAGGAAATGAGCTGGGAGAGGGCATAGACTCGTGAGTCATGGAACTGGGTTCCAACCCCACTCTCCCCGTTGGAGCTGTGTGCTCTTGAACAGGTTATCTGAGCTCCAGTTCCCTCACCTGTAAAATGGGAATAAGAGTGTTTCTTTCACAGGGGTGTTATCACTTCTAAATTGAATAAAGGAGCAGTGTTTGGCCCCCAAATCGGTTATCTTCAGCTGTTGATTTCTTCCTGCCTTTTCCCTATGTCCCACTGCAGGGAGACTAAAATGGAAAACAGGTGAGAGCCCTTTAAAAAGAACACATTATACAAATCTGACACATGAGCACTTCTTCCTTAAAGCAGAGTTGAGGAAGGGGAAAGACCAAAACACAGCAGTCAGATGGAGGAAGCAGAGGATCCGGGACTTGGTGAATCCAGGCCCTGGGATTCAGTGGCGATTTCCCATTTCCTCAGACATTCACAGCTGAGTATTGTGGAAAGAGCAGGATCTCTGCAGCCAGACCCGGGTTCAAATTCCCCACCGCTCCATCATGAGCAGGCACCTCAGTTTCCTCCCCTCTAAAATGGGGATAATGACTCCTTCTTCAGAGAGGGGATTTTGAAGTGCTTCACAGAGGAGCTGGTGCAGAGATATCTGCTCAATAAATCACAGCGATTCTTCTTCTTCTTTACAGGCCTAGTTATTATGGATCCTCAGTGTTTATTTACTCGTCATCTAAAGGAGTTGTGGATAAAGTGCCATAATCTCTAGATTCCCTGAATCTTGATTTCAAGCATGATCATTGCATTGTCAGACCTGATGTCTACCCTTTCCCACTGTCCCTACCGTAACATATTGTGGCCGTCTGGCTGCATGTGATTTAGCCTCTACTTGCTTCTTTACTTCATCTTCAGCTATTCTCCACCTAAGTACTGCCCCTTCTACATTCTGCTATGCATCATCAGGCCTTGCTCTGCCAGGAATATTCTAGCCATGCTCTTCCAACGAGTAGCTTCGTTTCGTCCTTTGGGTCATTTCTCCAGGAGCCTGGGTTTTTGGTCAACCCCTTCACTCTTAATTTCAGAACTGTAGTATGTTATTCCTTCTATATCATCCATCACAATTTCCATTATACATATTGATTTGCTTGTGTGTATGTGTCCCTCCTACTAGCTGATGGACACCACCAAGGCAGAGTCTCTCTGTCTGCTTTACTTGTAATTGAATGGCCAGAATCCACATAAGAGGTTTTCAATGAGTACTTGATGAGTAAATAAATACTAGCCTTTGCTTCTTAAAAATAAGGTCATTATGGGCAGAGAACTTTATAAACCATTTGGGATTATTGCAAGCTGCCCTGCACTCTTATTTTAGATAATTAAGCCCCATCTTATTTTAGGATGAGAAAATAATCAGCCACAAAACAGCTTCCATGAGAACAAGCAGCATTAGAAGCTTCAAATGGGGGTGGGGGGAATGAGCGTTTTCTTTTCAGTATCCAGAAGGAGAGAAATGAACCTACTTCTCAAAAATAGCCAAGTTTTAGGCCATAATTATTTCTGTCTGACTTGAGAAAGATGAGCCCTGCTGCGCGTACCCCTGTTTCTCTGTCCAACCAAACGAATTAACAACCACCATAAATACAGGTTTCCCGTAGTGGAAGGATCGAAACCACTAGCATAACGACCAGATAAAAGCTCCTAAGAATGTTATCATTCAGCTAAAAGTTTGGTGCCTCAAATGATTTTTTTCCTCTTTTGGGGAGACATTTGCGCTAAAATTTCTTAAACATATTTGGAGTTGTTTCCATATGGGGGTGAGGAGAGCTTTATAACATTCTGGCTCAAGTGGAGCTTGGGTGAGTGGCTAAGATTGAAATATTTAAGGACAATAGCGATTTATGCAGATAAAAATAATATTTTTTTATTATGTAATAAAAATAATTCAAATTATTTGAGGAGAAACCAACTCTTGAATGATGTGGGCACATGTCCCTCTTCAGAACTCACCTGAGGGCAGGACTTCTGTAGTAGCCTCCTGATTGGGCTCCTGCGTCTGGCTCTCCCCAGTCTGCCTTCTATCTAGACACTGCCATCAGATTCCCTTCCTAACTATCGCCTGTTGGTTGTGCAAAATGTTTCTGTGATTACATTCACTAACTTGAAGTTAAAGCCTCTTCAAGGTTCTTGCCAATCTGGTTTCAACCCAATGTCTCTGCGTATGTCCTTTTACTCCTGACTCCTTTACCCAAGCTCTCCCACCAGACAGGTATCATTTGTCCTTGGACTATGCTTTGTTTTGGGCTAGGTCACGTCAAATCTTCTCTGGTGCCACCCTTCGCCCCTCCTTGGTGGCTCAGGGGCTTAGGAAGGCTCCAGCCCAGAATCATCCACCTCTGAGCTTCCGAAAGCTTCCTGATCGGGCCCAAATCCTGCTGTTAGTCATGTCCTGCACCACTTGGATGTTGCTTTCTACGGTACTGCAGTTCTTGTTGCTTATATTGTCAAGTACGCAGGGGCTGCTCACCTGGGAATCCATAATGGAACTGATACTTCTTGATCCTTTCAGTTATTTCCACTTCCTGGTTAAGGGAGTTTGGAAGGAGATGGCTGTCATACGTGCATGTTTAAGATAGGGATTCCCAACCTGAGGTGGGATTATTTTTCACAAATCTGAAAACTTAAGGTCACATGTATCAACCTTCTGAAAGTACACCTGGGCTGTTCATTCTGACAATGTGCAGATTTAAAAGAGGCAGATTCCTGGGCTCCATCCGGTACTGATGGCAAAAGAAGCTCTTGGGACTAGGGCCTGGGAATGAGTATTATAAACAAGATTCCCAGGTGATTTTTTAAAATATATATTCAAGAAAATTTAGAGCATCAGGGGAATCTGACATTTATGTCTCTCGTGGTGAAGGAACCTGGAAGAGGAAATAATTCATATGCCTTGAGTACCAATCGTAATGCCTAGAAAAATATCACGTGTTTTCAGCAGTGTTCCTCTTGCAATCTTAAACAAGTCTATGATATAAGTCTTATCATCAGTCTCTCATGCAAATAAGAAAATAAGTGAAATAACTCATCGAACGACCTGTAAGTGTTAACTTGCTGGGCCAGCATTTAAACTGGGCTGACCAGCTCCAAAGTTCTCACTTCTCACTCTGCCTAGCAAACCTTGGAGGGAGGGACAGGCAGCATGAAGGCACAGACATGCCGGGGGTTTCCTAGATTAGGCTGGGAGAGCTGGGTGGGTCTGGAGCTCCTGGCTGGTGGCTTCTGTGTCAAGACTCCCTTGACAGCTAAGAGGACAGTGATCTTCTGAGCTCCGGATTTGCATCCTAAACCCTGAGTCTGGAGCCCGGTGAGCTCCAAGTGGAGAAACCACTGCCTGTCTGCCTGGTCCCCAAACTTAAAGGCAGAGGCTGCAGTGTCTCTGGACTTCATTACAGGTACAGCACACACACTGACCTTCTGGCCAAGGCTCTAAAGACCAGTGTCATCCAATATGCCGGGTGGACCGAGAACCTGCTCTGTGTATGGAAGGTGGGACAGAGAGGCCCTGGAAGCCAGTGCCCTGTTCACTCACAGGAAAGGGGTGATGAATAACCAAGGAGGGATGAGGAGGAGGGCTGGTGATTGTACACACCCTGGAGAACACTGAAGCCCTAATATTTGGGGAGTATAGGTCAAAGCAGTGGTGCCATTAAAATCACCCAGAAAGATCTTTAAAAATTCTGCTCACGGTGATTTCACTGGGCAGCCACGGTGGAGAAGAAATGGTTGGAAATGCCTCCCGACCGGCTGAGCCTACACATTCTCAGTCAGGGGTGGGAAAGCTGAGGCCTGTCGATGCTCCGCCAGCCTCAGTCTTCCCCATCTGAGAACTGGGGTGGCCTGAAGTCTGGCTGCTGCCAGAGCAGGGTCCCCTGTCATGTTTAATTTCCCGTTGTAGGGTAGAACTGGCACAGGAGAATGGGGAAAGAAACAGGTGTGAAAGGCAGGAGGCAGAAGTGGGATAGGACAGATACGGAGATGCACAAAGGAACCTCCTCTCAAGCAGGAAAACGTCAGCCTGAGAAGGATGGAATTGGGGTTTTTACAGCAGATCGGGGCAGAAAGGGCCCGAATGTCCAGTCTCCAAGGAGGTGCTCTACTCACTGAGTGGATGATGCCTTGCAGAGCCTGAAAGCCGTCATTGACTGGAAATACATGATCCTTACTGTCCGCAATCCGGGCCAGCTGAGAACAAATACACAAACACACGTGGAGATGTGTCACGCTGAGAAAAGCCACTGGGTTCAGGGGACTCCATCTACTTTTGGAACCCAGGGGAACCTGAGGCTCTGACTGGGCTCAGAGGCCTCACTGAAATACCCTCAGTAATAACGAGCTTAGCAGAGGCCTCCCTGGAGCGAGCCCCGAGGGTTGGCGCCAGCTTTTACATTTGTTTTAATACTTTTTTCCTTGGGAGCAGAGGTAAGATTGCCCAGCTAGATGAACATTTGGCCTGGGTTGGTGTATTTATGGATTTGAGGGCAGGCCATTGGCTCATTTTTCTCCCATTCACCCAAATTTCTGTTGGCAACTGTTTTCGAATTAAACAAACTCGTTTCCTTTCAGAGCAACTTTAAAAATAAATTCAAGTTTTGGTGTTGCGTGAGGCCAACGAATGGGGATTCTTATCTTCCTGCAGCCTGCTCCTGAGGAAAGGACCCTGGCAAAGGTGGGCTGTTCCTGCTCCACGGAGCGCAGAGCTGGAGGAAGGAGCAGCTGTTCTGTGAGCTCTTCTGCCCCAGATCGCTGTACATTTCTGTGTTTGCCACAGTCACAGTCAGTGCCAGGATTTTTATTGATTGCAAAAGGGACAGAGTCATTGGGAAATTTCAGAAAACCCAGGATAGTTAAAATAAAATTTTAAATTTACTTAAAATCCATGTATTCATCCATCCATCCTTCCATCATCACATTTCTATTATTATTGCTGCTTTGATATATATGGTCTTTCATAGTTTTGCTATGCAATATACATATATTTATTTTAAAAGATTCATTACAGTAAAAAACAAAACAAAAACAGGACACATTTTCCAAGTTAATTCAGATCTGTTTTGACACCTTGGCAATTGAGCATCTACCAAGAAAGGCAACCAAGGCAGATGCTGCTTGGATGGTCTGTGTTAAAGGCCCCCAAGTGCATCAGCAAATGGCTTCACATTCCTTAATCATCCAGTAATTCCCTTCCTGCTTAGCATTTCTGGAAAAATAGTCTCTCGAAGGGGTATTTATGTTGCTGATGCACCCTCTGTACTGAATCATTCACAAACTTGCTATGCTCTCAAACTGGAGGAAATCCGTGATCATACCTGTGTTTCATTGAAATCCTTCACACCAACGCAGTAAACAATTGCTCCAAGGTCTCGAGATCTGTTAGCCTGGGACAATGAAAGAAAAGACATAGGGAGAGAGCAGTGGCAAACATACTCTTTCTGCATTAGCCAGACGAACTATAACGAGGGGGTATTCATTGTGTCAGATACCACAGTGGAGAAGGCAATCCCTGTCCTCAAAGAGCTTATACTGCAGTGAACGCTCCCTTCCAGTGCACGATGGACGTGGGGGGAGTGCTTAGTCTAGTGGGAAGTGCTGAGAAAGAGCCACAGAAATAGAGCCTTTAAAAGACGAGGGGAGGAAAGGAACACCGAAGGCGAAGGTAAGTCATATTAAGAATTCTGGGGAAATGATTATCTTTTCTATTGCTCTGATGATTTTTTTTTTTTTTTTTTTTGCAAATCTTTTCTTCCTGTGTAATGGCAGCATGGTATAAAGGAAAGATGTGGTATTTGGAACCTGATACACCGGGGTCTGACACTCGGCTTTGCTCTGGAAAGTGTGATGGGGATTAAATGAGATAATAAATGCAGAACTCCTCACACAAGGTCTAGGATGGTACAGATGCTCATAGATGTCAGTACCCTTTGTGAATAAAGCTATTTTCACTGCCGTAGAACACCCTGATTTAATGGTGTGGGAATTATGGTCCATAACTGAGTAAGTGAATCCATAACCTTTTCTACAATTAAGTATTGAGAAGGCAACATAAAAACAACATCCAGGCTTTGGCTTGATTTTAATATTTGATCTATGAGAGGCTCTAATAACTGATTTCCAGGTTATCCTATATTTCAGAATAGAAAACAACAATGGGAAATCCTTGATATATACAGTAGCTCTTTAATAAATAATTGAGAGTAAAGATAGAGTGGGTGCTCAATATGTGCATGCTGATTTGAATTGTGTCCCACCCCTTGTCAGGACTCAAATCCACTTGTGACTAATACTGAAATTTAGAAGGCACAGAAACATATATATTTTTTCCTTCATGTTAGAAATATTTCTTGAGGTTTTCAGGATAAAACAAACTTTTAGACACAGTCTAGCCCCAGCCTTATCTGTGACAATTTCTGTGACACTTTCCCTCCAGTTGGGCTTTATATAGAATTATTAAAAATGGAAGGGTTCATTTTCTTTATATATCTTGAGTTCTGTCTTCCTTTCTTAGAAACTCTCTTTCTATTGGTGTTGGCACTCCAAATATTTTCCCAAGTTTGCATGTGCCATACCTAAAATTCTTGTCTACTAACCCTTATTTTAAGCATCTGACAACGATCATTTATTTTATATTCAGTTATTTCCTTATTAGGGTTTTTACTTTATTTGACTGTTGTTTGGCACCCAGATAAGTCATTTTGCATTCCCATTTCATAGCTTCAGCTTGAGAGTATAGAACTTATATCACTTCCCGAATGCTCAGGGAGTGCCTGTCATATTTACTGTGTGTTTCCCACTGTGAATTCGCCTCTGTACTAGTTAGTGGTGGGGGGAGTAATGTGCTCACCTACATAATTTTCTCATGCCCTTTGCCAGCAGAGGCTCCAACAAGCTGAACATTATGACAGGCTAAGGCCCATGAGGGCAGCAACTGTCTCTTCCTCACCTCTGTGTCCCTAGAGTCCAACAAAGGGCCCAGCACATGCCAAGCTCCCAGTCAACACGGAGTGAATGAATGAATTCAATACACTTCTTGCTTGTGGAGGGAGCTACATTTAAATTAAATACTAGTCCAGAGCTTGAGGTAAGTGTAATGCTCGGATTAACTCCTCTCCACAGGCCAGAGTCTCCCTCCCTCACTGCCTGTCTTTTTCCTTATTGTGTTTCTTTCTAACTTGACCTGAGCAAGCCTTTGTTACTAATGAGGCTTTGATACATCCCCATGGTTAACTGGTTTTCTTGGGTCATTTAGAGCTCTCACATCTAAAACTTAAAAGGAAAGGGTTTCCTAAACATAAATTAGTACTTTTTAACTTTTGAATAAGCCCCCTTTTTCTGAATCTTATACAAACTGAAAGTTCCATTTAGAGAGCATTCTTTTACTTGCTTTGAGGAGTATTTTATGAGAACGCAAAGAAAAGGAAAAAGAAATATCAGAGGACAGATTACAATGTACTTTTCCTCCAATTAATATTCAACTTTGGTTCTTAGAGTGAGAATCTCAATGATTAATATATTCTGCCAAGGTTGGATCCTACATATTTCAAGTAATTCTTTCCTCTCCTGTTTTTAGTAGAAAATATGAGGAAAATTTCAGAAAAAAAAATGTTTTTGCTTAACAATGATATATAGCGTTTTAAAACTATTAGAAATACAGTGCTTTCAATAAAGGCATGGTAAATATTTTTTATTCCCCCCCCCCAAATAATATAGAAATATTTTAAAAGGAGAAAAATATCTGTCATGTATAAGACATGAAGATTCACTATAAAATAAATAAATTATTATTATTATTTTTTAACATAGTTTAGCCAGGTTTTTTTGTTTGTTTTTAAGCCAAGAGCAGCTATCATTTTGGCCAAGTAGAAAGATTGCATCCCATTTCAAAAGGAAGAAGACCTTTTCCATGTCTATTTAGACAGACACGGGTCAGACCGTTGCTTACCTCCCTCTCTGAATAGAAAAAGAGATGTTCTTGGAGTTCTCCATCAGTCAGAGCAATGATGACGCTGGCTGTCCTGTATCCTGCTCAACACAACACAGACCCACTCAGTCCATCCTGCCGCACCAAGGGAAACCCTCTCTCAGCTCTGAGAATCCATCTCTTAAAGCTCAACCACCTGAGGTCAATATTGTGAGAATCAGCAACTTTTCTTTCGGGACTGGAGGCAATTCCAGCTTAAGGAGAATGCAGAGACAGACTCTAGGGGGAGAATAGGTTTTGTTTCTGGGCCAAACCCGGTGAAATGGTTTCTGGACTGATAGCTAGGAGTAGCTAGGCCTAGTCCACGGGACTGTCACCAAGGCCTGGGAAGAAGCTCTACCACCTAGGCTGCTCAGGGGTCTTTCTCACGTGCTGGACTTGACCACATGCACCACCCTTGAAGAGCTGGGCAAAGAGTAATAGTCACCATGGTCTACAAGCTGACTGCATTATAGCAGGTGGAGTTGGCAAAACCTACCAGAATTCTTCCAGTGACTTTTGGGCTTCTGGTAACATTGCTGATGGTTGAAATATATCAAAAAAGTGTTGATGTTGATATTGGATCTGTTTTATTTGTCGTAGTTTAGAGTGAAATCAGAAGTGGACACCTCTACAGGCCTGGGAGAAAAGTCCCCAGTGCAATATTGAATGTTTTGAAAGAGATCTGCCTCAGATAAAGAAATGTTATTCATAAGACACTATAGTAATAGTAATAATAGCCAAAATAACAATAATAATAATAAAAATTAGTTGTATGTGCTAGGCACTCTATTAAGTACATTTTTTGTACTTTTTTCATTTAAATGAAGGGAATTTCAAAATCAACTGGTATCTTAATCTTAGCATCATATCAAATCACAGTAATGAAGGGGTGAAGGGGCTTGCAGCCCAGAGAAGGACGAGAAAATTAAATCAGGCGTTAAAAATCCAAGCCTTTACTAACCCATCCAAGTATTTACTAATTTAATGAATTCAACATGCAAAATTGTTCATGGGCATTGCAGACTATAACTCCTAAGGGGACCTAATTAGTTTTATATCACTTTTTTTGACATCAACAGGATAGTAGAATTGAAGCTGGTACATGTTATCTTGTTATGTGTTCCTTCCTAGTGATGAGTGTATGTCCAAGGATGCTAGGCAATATTAAATATGTCTTATGAAACATAAAATTACTAAGCATTTTTTAAAGAAGCAAACTCAGAAAAAGTTAAATAATTTATAATATAGTCTTACCTTGACTGTTTTCATAATAAATCTGCTCGCTGGCCTGGAAGACACATGAAAAAGCCTTTAGACACACAACCACTGTTTGCTACTCCAAACCCCATACTGGGCAGTGGGCTCTGGTGTTGGCTACACAGCCAGGGCTCAGTCTTGATTCTTCATGTAATCTACCCATGCTTCACACAAATATCAATGATGACCTTCATCTAAAGTTACCCTGACATTTAACTAACATACTTGTGAACATGGATCAATGTCTTACTTCTCATGAACTGGGACTTGTTTTCCTTAAGACTGAAGTCACTGACATTCTGTCTCAATCACTGGAGCAACATGTAGAAAAGGTGACCTTGAAAAGGGCGAGAACATGCATGCGGCATGCCTCTTGGGTGCCAGCATTAACTAACAAACCTTTCATCAGTGTCAGGGAAGGAGCAAAAGAATTTCTTCAGTTCCTTTGGAGAGCATTATTGGCGTACAAGTTTACGGGAAACATTCTTTTACTATCTTGCCACCGGGTGTTCTTCAGTTCCCTTAATACATGTGCCTTATCTCATCAGCCCTCCTTACATTGATGTTTCTGTGTCACACTTTATATTTGGAGTTGAAAATTGTTTTAAAGTTACCCTTTCAAATCCTTCATGCATGTAAGTGTCTCCTCCTGGCAGGACCTTCTGAAGTTCTTCGAGGCCTTGACGAATCTGTTCTCTGAAATCCAAAGACACCTTGTTAGTCATATTAGAGCAATTTTTTACTGTGCACTTGATAGTCATATGCATTAGTCTTTTGCTTATCCCTGTAAATAGTCTATATTGCCCCAATGGTTCCTCAAAAGCCTGTCAGAGGGAAAGTCTTTGTAATACATTATGCATTTAGGCACCTTACGCACCTTTATATCAAGATGCAACAGCTCTCGTGAACCAGAAAGAGGCGAGTACGAAGAAGCCAGGGTAAGGCCACCACAAGGACCACAGGGGGGAGGGGCAGGCGTCCGGAGTGAACTCTGCCACCCGCACAGTTGTGCCAAAGGAAACCGTGTAGGCAGCTTTGAAAACAAAAGTCTAGGCAATCTATGCTTTCCAGGACAACCAAGAGTGTTTTCTGTGGGCTGACGCCTGTGTTTTCTTACTCTGGTTGCTCAGGGTGGCCTTGGGGCAGGAAGGGGAAGTGGGTTATGGCGTTAGGCAAGGGTCTGCCCGAAAGTGGGAAACATAAACGGTCTGGGGATCAAATGGAGTCTTTGTGGACCATTATTTCTGGGATGTAAGATGTGTTCCTATCTTTCAAATAGCCCCATACTCTGTCAAAAGGGCAAGAAGTGTAATTTCTAAAAATACATTAGCCTTATTCATAAACTGTAAGCCTACGAAAAGTTGGAAATTACCTTCCTCTCACTGGGGTCTCTTTAGTGGCAGAGGGTGGAGGTGCACTATTTAAATTAGGAAGGGAAGCTTCTTTTGAGTAGGGAAGGAACCTAAAATTTATTAGGCATCCACCATGTACAAGGTCCCACTCAAAGCTTTGTTTTTACCCCTGCAATAACTGCTCAAGGTGGGTAATGTTGTCCTCAGATTGTAGGTGAGACCATTGGGGTTCAGAGAGGTTAGGTAGATCAGAGACTTGAACTCAGATCTGTCCGACTCAGAAAGGCTTTCTACTCTACCAAGCAGCCTCCTAGCATACAACAGTGCTGGGGAGGTTTTCCATGGCACTTGAATTAGTGAGAGCAAGAGCAATTTCTAACACCCTCTGAGTACTTAAAGTGTGCCAAACTCTGTTCGAAATACACCCACACAATTAATTCACTTATGCTTTATGATCGCTCTTTTTCATAGATAATGCTGTTATTTCCATTCCACAGAGAAGGAAACGGAGCCACAGAGAGGCTAAGGGACTTGCCCAAAGCCCCTCAAGGACTAAGTGACGGAGGTGGGAGCTGAACGTGGAGGCCCTGCTCTCCATCACCGTGACAAACTGTTTCTCTCTGAATGGATGAATGAAATGTATTGCTGGTCTATTCTGGCAATTACTGGGGGAGGAAGTCTAATGCAAAATGAACCTTTGTTAAAACTGACACAATGGGGTAGCCATGGGTGAGCTGGATAGCCAGGCTATTGGAGGGTTTAAAACACAAACTGAAAAGGGATTAATGTGAGCCTGCCCTTGTCCTGGGCTACTGATGCTTCTCCGGTGGAATAGTGAAGGCCAGGCAATTCAGACTTTGGGAAATATACTGACTATTGTTTGTCTTATCAGTGCCCAGATATCAGACCACATCAAAAACTGGAAGCCTTCCTTGACCCTCTTCTCTCCTTATGCTCCCCTACATAGTCTATCATCACATTCCACAAGTTCTCCTCTAAACACATCATGAAACTTCTCTATCTCTTCTGCCAACGCCATGATCTGAGCCACCATCGCCTCTTGCTTAGACCACTGGGAAAGTCAATGGCTGTCTTTCGACCACCTTCTCCCATTCATTCTCCACATGGCTGTTGAAATGTTTTAAAAATACTTATTAAAGCATACCATTCATTCACTGCTTTGCTCAAAACCCTCCATTAGCAACCAGTTATACTTGGGATAAAATCCCAAATCCTCGCCCTGGTCGTCTTGTGTCTACATGGGATGGCCCTCCGCCCCCTGACAGCCGCATTGGCACCACCCCTGCTCTCTGCACTTGAGCCCTGCTGGTTTTCCCACACTCCTCAACAGACCTTCCCATCCGCAGTCACTGCCGTGTGGGGACCAGGGAGACTTTTTGCCTTGCCCTTCACTGGGCTGATTCTTACCCAGCCTTCAGTCCCAACTTAGATGTCAATTGCTCCAAGAAACCTTATTTGACTTCCCCAATTCAAATGAGCTCCCTCGATTAGATGTCCTCATTAAATTCCACAACTTTTGCTTCACAGCACTTGGGACATTTAATAACATTTGGTTATGTAGTTATTTGTTTAGGTTTTTTCCCCCCAGTTCCAGACTTTAAGCTCCACGAGAGCTGGGCCACGTCTGTTTTGGTCTCCATAATACCTTCTGTGTCTACTGTAGTATCTGTAACATTTTAGACAATCAACAAATATTTACTGAAGATGTAAGAGGGGGGCATCTGATGTTTCCACTGTTAGGTTAACCTTAGGGGCAGGGATTAGCCCACTGGCCATGTGGAGGGAGGCAAGGCAGGAACTGACCTGGTGATTGACCTTAGGTCTGTGCCCATGGGGTGGTTATAAACCATTCTCTGTGTTGTACTTCTTCTTCTTCTTTTTTTTTTTTGTGTGGTACATGCCCCTAGTGGGAACCGAACCCGGGACTCTCTGGTCCACAGGCCGACGCTCAACCGCTGAGCCAAACTGACCAGGACTGTGTTGTACTTCTCTACATTACCCCATATTTCAATAAAGCCCATCAAAAGGCATAGTTTCATTTCCACCCTGTTGTTTGGTAATGAAACGGGGCACACATCTGAAGGAAGCGTAAAGAAAAGAGCAGTGTCCTCCACCAGGGCCACTGTTGGGAGGGCAGAGGTTGGCACTGGCAGTCATCTGGCAGAGGGCAGCTTCGTCCTGCACGTGGGCAATTTCATGAGGGTAATGGCAGTCACAAGGTGGCATGAGGGTGATGCTGGGATAAGAGGGTGAAGCTGGATAGGAAAAGCAGGGTTTATTCTTGAGCACACCGAAGTGGTAACATGGAACCTTCAGAATAACTGGGGGACTCTAAGCGGGAGGGAGCTACTCAGGTAGGAGGAGATTGGACATTAAAGGTAAATGTAAAAAAAAAAGTAAATGTGGTCTAACTCTTTACTCATGGACTCGTGAGGTCTGGGATATATTGGTAACACTAAAATTGGAATATTTCGTTAAGACTGAAGCTTAAAAAAGAGGGTTAAAAAAGGCATATTAGGGGAATGGAAACGGTTCCTTGGCTTCACTGTAGTCTTTCCCTGCCAAATAAAGTCTGGGAACCGGGGTGTTTTCTCTAAGCCTGTTTCCTTTTCTTTACAAGTATATTCTTGAGCTTTCTATTTTTTTGGTACTAGAACAAGCAAAGGCTGGTTTGGAAACTGTCCTTATCCTTGATGCTTTGTGTCTGGCAAGATATAAACTCACTAGTCCCAAGCAGTGATCACAGCCTCCCAGATACCACCCTTACTTCTCCAAAGATCAAGCAACTTATGGCCCCCGCTCCTTCTCTACGCACCCACAACACTGAAGCAAACGAAACAGATGGGTATGGTGGGTCCATTTTAATTCTGGGACAAGAAAACTATTAATAAGGGCTTTTTTTTTTTTTTTAATGCTGTCTTAGAAATGGAAGAAAATTGGGAGAAAGATCTGTTAAAGAGGGTGATAAGAACCTCTCTGAGGACTTGGTTGTTACCAAATGAAATGTTATCTTCCTGGGAAGTGAGAGACCGGGAATCCCATGAAGACAGGCTGCTATTAAAGTCTCCTGTTTTCTTTGGTGGTTTCACATGTCTGCCAGTGTTTTTACTAGACGTTAAGGGTTCTCAGGCCACATGTCTTTTGTTCCTTTTGCAACCCCTGCAGCACTTAATTATGGGCCTAGAGTAGGTGATATGTTGTTGACCGAATGATTACTCCATTCATCCATTTCCACAGCTATTTATTGAGCATGCACTATGCATTCAACACTAGTCTGGTTTGTAGAGATGGGGGGAGGGGAGAAGTGGGACAGTGTCTGCTGGACTTTTTGTTGGCCCTGGGAATTTTTCTGCACTTCATGAAGATTACTCTTGGGATTCCAGTTGCGTTGCGACATTTTGACATTTGCTAATGAAAACATGAAAGGACGAACACACATAAGCAAGTCAAGAAGTACTTCAATAAACATTTATCCCAAGTATCCTGGTGATGCTCCTACTGCAAAATCCTCCTTGGGGTTTTTGCAATATCTACCACATTTTCAGTCTATAAAAACAGCCTCCACCATCCCCCTCAAATAACCCAACATCAGCTTTGCATTATTTACTTCTTGCCTCCAATAAAAGAGCTTCTGTGGAATTGGACTTTTCTCAAATGCCCTGCCATTGTTGCCTTTGCAGCCTCAACTTATATAGTAAACACACATCACTACTTATTACCACTAATGCCGCATTCACATTTCCAGATGGCCTTCCCACTCTACTGTTGCTTACCAAAAACATGGAGTGAACATACCAGAAAAACATAATTAATTAAAGACACATTGCGGCTATTTTTAGAGTCATGAAATTCCACAACCCACCATAATCATTTGTTTACAATGTATGTAATTAATGACATGAAGATACATGTTGAACCAATGGTCATTTTCTGTCTATATATATTTTTGTGTCCTCACCCGAGAATATATTTATAAATTTTAGAAAGAGAGGAAGGGAGAGAGAAAGAGAGAGACATTCATGTGAAAGAGAAACATCAATTAGTTGTCTCCTGCACACATCCTGACTGGTGATTGAACCCAAAATCCAGGTATGTGCCCTGACTGGGAATCAACCCTGCAACCTTTGGGTGTATGGGATGATGCTCCAACCAACTCAGGCACCTGTCCAGGGCAATATATATATATTTTGGCAGGAGAGTTCACTGATACATAAGTTGGGAAAATTTTTTTCTCCATTTTTATGTATTTATTTATTTTTCCCATTTTATTAATTAATTAATTTTTGTTACAGATGTTTCTCCTCCCCCCCCGACTCCCCCTCC